CTAAACTCCTGTACCCTTGGTAAAATCCTCATCAAGCGCAGTAAAACCTTCAGAGAACCCAGTGTTACGGACCTCCCCAAGGAAACCTTGGACTACCAACAGACTGTCGAGGGCTTCTGTCACCGTGCCGAGGCCTTTTGTGAGCTTTTTGTTTGGGCTTCTAGGGGTTTTTAGGTTTTTGATGGCTTTCAGGGCTTTTGGGCCTCAACCCTAAGCTTTCTTCCGATGGGCTGCTAGAGCTTCGGGCTTTAGTTGTGGGGTTTCGGTTTTCAGCAAGTTTCAATTTACTTAAAGAATAACCCGAACTGAGGCACTTAAATAGCCCTAGTTGCTTAGCTCGAAGATCCTCCGAGTAGGTCTTGTGGCTTGGGGGTTTTGGGGCTGTAAGGTTTCAGGTTTTTGGGGGTTTGGGCTTTTGGTTTCGGTGCCCTTCTGAGAGTTTGGGGCTTAAGGCTTTGGGTGGTTCAGCGTTTCGGGTTTGGGGTTTAGGGGTTCGGGGCAGTTTAGGGTTTAGGTCGGTTTTAGGTACGTAGGTTTCTGGTCGTCTTCTGGGGTCAGGACTGTTGGCAAAGTGGGGGTTCGGGTCCAAAATTCAGGGTTTGCCAAGAACTGTCCGAAGATGGGTGCTAGATAGACGGATTGTTATTACAAGGACTTCAGCCCTAGATCCTAAACTCTAATTTCCATAGTCTAGATCCGAACTGAAAATCCCGACACCCAAACCCTAAACCTAAAGTACGACAGTGATAGGAGTCGCACAAAACCTTCCTGGCGGTTTTTGGGGGTCCCCAAGACTCCAAAACCTATTTAAGAAATCTTAAATCATACTTGCAATTCACTTTAACCCACCAGAACCTACCTTTTTCTACGGTCCCTATAAATCCCACATTAGGGTTTAATATGAGAACCTGCAAATAAAGTGTGCTTTGGTAAGTTAAGGTGAGGAATCTTCCTTAATTAAGGGGCTTTTGGTGGTTCGGCTTCGGTGAATCTCTGCGGCACTTACACCGAAGCTGCTCCAAGGGGATCCCCCGCCGGAGCGTTCAACTCTAGGGTTGTAGGTTTCAGGGTTTAGGGCTTTGAGGGGTTTAGGGTTGTAGGGTTTCAGCGTTTAGGGTTTTTAGGGGTTTAGGGTTGTAGGGTTTCAGGGTTTAGGGTTTTTAGGGGCTTAGGGTTTTAGGGTTTCAGGGTTTAGGGTTTTTAGGGGTTTAGGGTTTTAGGGTTTCAGGTTTCTTTAGGGCTTTAGGGATTTAGGGCAGTTTAGGTTTAGGGTCCCCAAACCCTGCAGCAACTCGTTGCCAGAGCTCCAAAACTTCAATCGTGAACTGCAGTAACATGGGTGTCTGAATGATTGCCAATACTCTTTTGTAATGTTTTCTTATTACAATTAAGGTATAACAAACCCCGAACCCCTATTCTTATTTATTCCCTAAACCCTAAACCC